TTGATTTCATTTCCCAATGAATCTAAAAAATAAGCCACGCCCACCGAACCGGACTACTTTCGGACCTGAGGAATGTCGGGGAATACCTTTACACAGCGAGGGAATTCCCTTGCACTCGGGTACCTTAATGAACTTTGGATAAACATTGAAGTGATACATTGTGGTAAACATAAACAAACAACTCAAAATTATCCGTGAACGTTAATAAAGTGTTTATTTAATAAAAAAGTGTTTGTCATAATACATTATTTGACTGGTTACTGTGGTTACCACGTGCAGTCAGCGAACAGTCGTCTCTGCAACTTGTCTTGTTTTACATTCCAACACGATGGCCGATTCCAGGTACGGAAGTTTTGATCTGGGGAATTTTGAGTCGATTTTCGAAGATCAATCTACCGGAAACGTTGCAACTCTTAACACGGATAACATTGATTTTCCGGATGATTTAGACCTGGAAGAAATTGAAAGTTTGTTAGAGATAACTGCATCAACCAGATCTACAAAAACATCGGCAAATCACGAGATGACGTGTGCAATGCAAGTCGATGATAAGCCATCCCAAACACATCGTTTCAAACGTTTATCAAGTAATGATTTACTTCGAATGGACGACTACAGACAATCAACATCCACAAAAAGAAACACAAAATGGGGTGTTAAACAATCATTGAAACAAGTGATCTGATGAAAATTAGCACTTATCTGCATTCGGCATCCAATCCTGTTATCCTCCGGTACAAAGTATGGTACGACTTGGCCATCCATTTTGTAAGTCGTGGTCTTGAATTTCACCAGCAGCTTACGCCCACATCCTTTGAATTTGCGGTAGATGAGTAGTCAGTCATACACTGCTCATTGTCTTCCCGCCACAGCAATCCAAGCCATGAGTGACGCTGGCTTTGAACTTCGTCACATAATGTTTATGAGCATAGGAATGAAAGTTCCGTGCGTAGTTATAGTCGCCACACAACGACTACTCAAAAACTAAGAATTAGCGAGACCCTTTCCGCCATTGTAACGCCTCGACAAAAGCATGCGCACGTTGGAACATCAGTTCATGGCATCGCAATCCCAGTCACATCACAGCCCCTTTCCACTTGCGCAAATACTGCTGCCACTAACAATCTCAGTTCCACTAACTTCATGTCATCGGGCTTCATTTCCAATTCTCACTTTTCAAACTGTGTCTTTCAGTTCGCTGGTAATAATTCAAATGTTTGAACTAGAAACTTTGCCGTTACCGGAACGCGTCACGTTGTGTTGTTCCGCTTTCTGATTCGCAACCCCGATGTTAGCTTGGTTGATTGACAGCTGTTTGGGGTGCTCTATGCTGATTGGCTAATGGTTTGGTAGGCGTGTCATTTTATGTAAATGAGTCACCTGAGTCATGTCACGCCATTACCGAATTCTTACACCGAAAATGTTAATCGGTGGTAACACTGATATCTGTTTCGATGAATTTGATTGTGTTTAAATAAAATATTGTTGAAAGCCTATAGTATTTGTTGTTGACTTTATTTATTTATATTGATCAGTGGGGAGCAGTTGTTAGATTATGAATTAAAACCAATGTGCAAACTTTTGTTAAGAATCCGCTACGCGGATTCATACAGTTTGCACATTGGTTTTAGTTTCATACCTCAATGCAACGAAAGAAATACACAGTCAATCCTTAATTGCAATTTTACTCGTTATAGTAAAATATACAGACTAATACATTAAAATCTTCATACGAGCATCTGTCAAGCATTATGCGCCAATCTAAACGTTAAAATGAGGTTGACTTCACCATTCATCCATCTTTTCCCATACATGCATTTCTTCGGGGTAACAAAATTCAATTTTTCAAAATGCTGTTACAGTGTATGAACACACCCCTTTGTCAGTGAATAAATCGATAAATAAAGTAAAGCAAAGACAACACACAGAATGAGAAGGACGTCGTGAGTTAGACAATCAGTAGTGTTCTTAAACAGTCAATTTCTTTCCTCTTCTCTTGTTTGTACACGTGGGATGTGCGATTTGATAAGAGTGGACGATAAACATAAAGATATATGTACTGGAGCCCAAAAGCTCAACTCTAACTGTACAACAGAATAAAATAAACTGGTCCCTGATCACGTCCGATGTTCGTTATCAATGTGACCCTTTACAGGTTAATGATCGTGGAATATAGTTTCTAAGATTCACAATTTCAAATAGCATAACATGTGATAAATTTAGATACAATTAATCTTGATTTATGAAATCAACTGCTTTTACGTTCGTGATTTACTTGCCTCCTACAATCATATTTTCCCAAGAATAATTTATATAAACAGGAAGCACCTGTTTCATTATTCACTTTTAACGTTGCGAACGAAAGTATTTTGCGTGTTTCTAGTGAAAATATTTGTATTGTATTTTTGCCTCTCTAATAAGTTTTACAAACAACTCCCAGAGTGAATGTACGGTATTCACCGTATAACATCAAAATGCCCAACAACAGTGTTTTGAGGATGTCCTATTTCAAGCATTCAAATTGAAAACAATGGCTTATTTCCAGATAGGAGTGGTGTAACGTTTGTTGGGTTTCAGGTTAGATCACTTTATAATGTTGCCACGTGCAGTAGGAATATGCGACGTATGTCTTGCTGGTATGTTTCTTTATGTAAAAAGACTTGGAATTTCTGTTCTGTTTTTAAAAGTAAAAACAAGCATATATTTTAGAACTCAAGCTTGGTGTCCTCACTTTCAAAACATCTGATGGAAGACATATGTAAGACACCTTTGACATGATCCCCGATGCCTATTTTGGCTTATGCAGTTAACCTGCGTTTGCACGTGTGTTTGGGACGGGTACTGCAATGTCAAACTCGGGTAAAATAAGATTTAGACATTGCCAAAGCAGAAAACTAAACATTAAGAAGATGTTGACTTCATCCTTTACCAATTTACCATCGTTGTTGTGTTGTTGTTTGTTTCCAGCGTGTGTGTGTGTGTGAATGTGTGTGTGTGTGTGTAATAAGTTGTACGCTTCTTGCGAGGGTAATACGGTTTGATATACGCCTTTTCGTAGCAGTGTTTGTAGCAGTGATCGATAAGCTCGCTACCAACTATATGACATGTAAAACAAAATGGCGTCTGCCTCTCGACTGGATTTTAAAAAATCAGTGAAACATATTCTCACAAGCTTAAACTGCTATGGTTAATCATGTTTAAGTTGAGTGTGCAAGCTCAATCTATAATCTTTTGAAATAAAGCAATGAAAGTCGGTAACTTAAATGTGTACATAGTGAACTGGAAAAAAGGCTAATCCAACGGTTTTCGTTATTATGACGTCATACGATTGTTAGCAATACAACTTCTCGGGGAGAGTTTGGTGGTTACCGTGGCAGGGGGTAATATGCTTTCCAGTTGGCGAGGGAGACACGGAAACTTGTTATTGACCGTCATTGACGAATGAAATTAAATGTATTTTACATGTTATTTGTACTCTCTCAGCCAGTAGCATTGTCCAACTTTACTGAATATTTTATATAACCCTCCTTTTTATTATGCAACGTGACCATTTTAAGTGAAATATACCGTGACATATAGTATATACTTTGTCATGTTGGGTAGTAGTTGCTGGGTAGCCTAGTGGTTAAAGCGGGTGCTCATCGCATGAAAGGTATAGGTTCTATTCCTGTTGGTGCATTATGTGAAGGTGCTCCCTGTTCTATCGCTGGAATATTGCTAAATGCGGCAAAAACTAATCTCACTAACCCACTTCGCATTTCTTCAAATCAATGCACACCGAAGCGTGGAGGATTTCAAAAGCGACGTGAAGCAGGCGTTTACGTCGAAGCACGTTCCGCTTTAGCTGTTCCATTCCTATACAGAAGGTGACCTTTACAGGCTACTGTGTCTCTTAGTCAGCAGGAAAGCTTTCTTACATGACCACCATTGTGCATTGCTACCGTCCGTGTACACTTCTTAGTCAGATGCTGTTCGCTGGACCTGCAGATGCCCGTACATACATACATATGGAAATGAGCAAAGGTTACAATTATAGCGCAAACAAATCAGTCAGTATAAATGGTCAGACAAGCTATATTTAGGATCTTTGTCATCGTTGTCGTGTTGCTTCTGTGTTGATAAACAGTCAGCCCATATATTCAGTATTGAAATCGAACAATGAATTGCATCCCATATCCTTAGAAAAGCTTATACATGTACATAAATACATAGAGAATACTAGAGCACGAGGTCTCATTACATACGAATTATACGAAACGAGTGTCCTTCCTTCCTACAGAAACCATAGGAAGGTCACGAGTTTCGTATAACTCCTATGTTATGAGACCGAGTGTGGTATTTTATTTATTACCCAAGTCTTACATGCTTTAAATTGACTAAATAGCGTATTTGTATTGTTTTCATGGTTTCAAACCGAAACCGCTTTCATAAAGAGGTTGCGGAAGAATATTGTTCTGTAGTACACTTTTGCATGACGTCATACTGTAATGACGTCACTACGCCTTGCTAGTCTGATTTTGGTAACCGACGTCACGATGCATGTCAGTTGTCATCGCCTCGTACAGCCTCCTACATTAAACTACCCGTAGCACCCCGTTTCTTAGTTTGCAGTTGCTTCACTCGGCTAACATCACTGGTGGAAACTTCCTGCGTTTATGGTTTTCGACGCATATAATGTCTCAGTTCGACTCACAATTAAACAGCGATACGGCAACGTTCGCAATTTTACACTCCCACAATGCATATAAATTGTAGAATGAATGAAATTACGTGTTTGTTATGAATGAAAAGTAGTTCCATGACAACGTGACCCAATTGAGAGGTCATCTGTTATCCAATCAAATCCAATTAGAATCTCAGGTCAAGTCGTTACGACACAGGTCAACGCGATACGAAACTCGTGTGACATACGAGATTAGTATGCAACTAACCATACGTTGACCACGTGGGTACGAAAACACATATACGCACGTATGTACGTACCTACATTGCCGGCCCACATGCATGGTTTTCCCGGTTTCAGGTAAACCCATCATTCTGAGGTAATATAGAGCATCTCTAAATGTTTGGTATCTGTACTCGCGACCACCTGTACCAAAGTACGTACGAGTCTTCCAGGTAAGTGGGAAAATAATTATAAAGGTGACATTGGTGTCAAGTGACATTTATTTAGAAGAAATCATTTTGGCACGATGGACAGTACAGGTAGACAAGCAATAGTTCAAAGTATATTTTGTGTTTATATGTACATATGTACTTTTTACATCATGTGCAAAATTAAGTAAAGTAAAACTGCAAAATTAACAAATTGAAACGGACACTTAGATCTATATTTACACATATCATAACATATTGATAAACATAACATATTGATAAACATAACATATTCTCAGGGCACCTGGATGTGACAGGGCTATTTACAGATTTGTGGTGTAACACCCTAAGCCGGGTCAATAGACAGACCTTAAGTTCTTTCGGTGCAAATCATTTTCTGATTTCTAACACAAGCTGTGTAATTCGTATTAACGCATTGTTGATGCAAATCAATGCGGTGGCGAAGAAGAAAATACAAAATCAGAATAAAACTGTGAAAGAAGGTATCCACTAACGAATAATTATATTAAGAACACTTATTAACAGTAAAAATATGAAATAATATCAGGATTAATGAATATAGTATGTTTCAAAATAAAACATACTGCGACGATAGCTAACGTACAGTAAAAGCAGAAAGGTTCAACACTATACAAACTAGATGGATCAAAGTAGAACATACCTGGAAGGATATAATCCATAAAAACATATTTTATATCAACATATTCACACTATATTCGGGAGACCCAATTTCTGAGCGAATTCATAAGCCCACTTACAAGATTCAATGCAATACTTAAGAAACCATTTTGAGTGTAGTCTACAGTTACACAAGTTTGTCTGGTTAAATGCAAACCCATATACAGAAGGATCCCTATCCAGATCCGTTTTGAATGTTTTATACTCCAAAACTCCGTGTGGTATAAATTGTGTTTGTAACACTTATGATTAATACGTCTTGGTATAAGCAAAGTGTTGCTCAACGGGCTATACGAAAAGCACAGCACAGTCATTCATTATCTTAAAAGAAGATCTTTTACAGTTTCAATTGTATTCTGTGTTAATCCATAAGACCGTTACTTAACTCCTGACCTAATGGCGTTACATCCTTTTATACAATACCACATGACCAGAAAAAAAAGTTATACAAATAAACAAACCCAAAGCTAATGGCTTACTAAAACATGGTATGCGTTTCTGATGATGCTATTCTGCAGCATGTCTTCATATTCAAATAGTTAAACGTCTCTGTGAAACTGCCAATCGCATTTGCCTGTGAACCGGGTTAGATATTTTGCCATGCTGATAAGGGTCATCAACAACGACATCATTCATTATGTGAATATGACACGGAATATGCAAAATGACTTTCTGGGATTGACTGATACCCAAGCTCCGTGTTTTCTGTTGCGTTGAAGTGGTCAGCCATGGCGTGAACGGCAATATCTGCATCTTCGTTTTGTCACTATGTTGTGGCTCACAAACTGCGGAAGTGCCGTTGTCGCGAATTTCACTGTATATATGTAGGGTTTCATATAGGGGACAAGGTGTTTCGCCATCAGCCACCGAGGTTGCATTCCGGGTTCTGTTGCGTTGAAAAGAACAAAAACAATACATGTCTACAATACCACGAAAGTACAAGAGCTTACGTTTGCGTCCAGCGTAGGTTTCTATGGGTGTATTTTCTATTAATCGCACCGGACGGGTTCCCATCATCAGACGTGATATTACATGTTCCCCTGATCAGGCCAGTTTCACAATGTAATCTCAGTGCTAAGGTGATCTCAACTCCCATCATTTATATCCGTCCTGTATCACATCAATCAAAGTCGCATAAACGGCTTTGTGATATTGGGTCCAATGGTTCTATATTGATTTTGGAGCAGAACAATCTAAAAGTGTGGTAGTATTCATTTCTTTAGGTAGTTAAAAAGGAATATGCAACATAACCAGGAAAAATTAAACACATATAAAACAAACTAAATAAAGAAATTAACCTCTTCGTGTTCATTCTCCTTCGGCAGTAGAACAGAGTTGCCAGTAAGATACACGCCGCAAAATCAGCGCAGCAGCTGGGGTTCCGCCCAGGAAAAACATAAGTAGAAACTGCAGCAGAAAGTATTAACAGAATTAATATCCTCCTTTGACTTGCATCTATATGTTTAAAGGTAGAGTATTTCCTCTGTCAGAGATAAATGAGAAATCATCTCGTAACCCGCATTAAATATCATAAACCTAGACACGATTTAACAAAGAAGAGAGGAGGATCAGTTTACTTGGGTGGGGATGATGGACCATCTTGTGGAAGGTCAGTCCTATATGCACTTAGACTCTGCGGATGAGAGACAAAATAGCCAACTGCGGGCAGGATACAAATGTAGACACCAAAAGGAAATGTCGAATTCAGAGCTGAACGCTCGTGACAAAATAACACAAATACTTCATGTTGTGTCCTCTCATATTCCTTTTGACAAATGTTGATATTCGCTCATTTCTCCAGACTCACAGAATCATTTCCGTGATAAGTGAAGGCACATACTTCACCAGCGTTCACAGAAATTCCCATTCCTGGTGCTGCTATGAGTACGTACTCTTTCCACTGGAATGACTCTGAATCTCATTAAGGAAGGAAGCATATTTCTGATTATACTACAAGTAAATAAGCTTTGTACATCTATAACATTCGAAAACAACTGTATGTTAATCGTTTGAAAACCAGCTTACCTGTTTCACATTCGTTCTTTGTCACACAGTCCGCTAAGGAACAGTCATTGGCACAGTCATATTCACATCTGACGCCACCGAAACTGGCCTCGCATCCTTTGATACACGCACCTGTCGACTGGATGGCACTTGCCATCCAGGCATCTTGGACACGAGTGGTCGCAGAACTCTCCGTATGACCCATTTGTACACCCACTGGTGCATGATCCATTCGTGGAGTTGCACAGCTGACTGACACAGTTGACAGGGCATGGTCCACAGTCTGTTCCATAATATCCAGGTGAACAACCCTCAATACAGGCTCCAGTAGGATCACATTTACCATACAGGCATCTGGGATTACATTGGATGGAACAGTTAGAACCATATCTTCCATTGACACATCCGTGTGTACATGCACCCGTTACTTTGTTACACTCACCTAGACAATTGTTAGTCTCTTTTGAGCTGAACAGTTTCTTGCAACGGTAATCGGATTAGGTTGACAATGAACACTGCACTCCCTCGTCTCAAAAACTTGCCATAAAACCTGGTACACAATCATGCTTACATCCATTGTCACATCCACTGGACTCCAAACAACGGCCGCAGTTGTGTTCACAGGTCGGTCCGGCATGGGGCGGATAACACTTCTCACAATGTCCTGTAATCCTGTTGCAGGATTTACATCTACTTGAACAGGTCTTGCAGTCCGAACCATAATAGGAACCAATGCACCCAGAAACACAAGTTGAATCTGTCTGACAATATCCGCCATCACACACGTATGGACACTTTGTACATCCGACTCCTTGGGAATCACATTGGTCAGTGCATTTTCTGCCCTGATACCCTGGTATGCAACCCTCCGTGCATACCTGGAAGACCTCGCTCGTTCAGTGTACAAGGGCTCTTCTTGCAGCCTCTGCTGCAGAGCGAGCTACACATGAGATCAAAATAGCCATCCTCGCAACCAGTGAGACAATGTCCTATCACCTCATGACAGTCAGAGCAGTGTTGCTTCACCCCACACGTTGCAGCTGTAATGTGAGCAGATTTACTTATATATTACTTTATGTTCATATCATGTGATGCATGTAACTATTGCAAGCATTATCTTAAGATATGCAAGGAGTTTTGGTACGTTTAACGCATGCAACAAACATGATAGTATCCTATATTAAGGATTCGTGGGATATTTTACTGTTTGGGTCATATCATGCAAAGGAAGTCAGCAGGAGCATCATACCCAATTGCTTCTTCTTCATAAAGAAATAATCACCTTCACATTCAGTAGAATCATTTTAACGCCATTAAATTACGCTATTTAACCGGAAAGTAGTCGAAATCCAAAATAATGATAGGTAATTTGACTGGACATTCATCTGGTCACTGGTGTTTGTCCAAGATTAGTAATGTCTTTCAATCAGAAGCTTCAGGTCAACTGATTTTAACAGGGCCAATTATTTCGTTATTTAGCAGACATATCCATGGATTACATGATTCGTAGTTTCTATTGGAAAACACTTTTGATACATGACATGTTTTAAATACCTTAGAAAGTATTTCAATATTATAGAAACCTACCTTTAAGGTGTGATTGGGAAACTAGTAATGAAAATTAGAAGCAGCAGATCCATCTGTGCCTGAAAAGAGACAGTAACATGTAAATATAAGTTGAATATGCGACTATCGAGCATATAAACTGAGGCAATAAATTTAGTTTACAGCATGCAGTATCATGTAGTTGTGGCTCATATACTCTAGGGCAAGGTATTTTCCTCCCTATTTCCCATATACACCTCCACAAGCAAGCCCAGCGTATGGCCCAGTAATGATGTGATTCACATGTTCGGGCTTACAGTTCAGGTTTTGGTTACAATTTCCTTTTACGCGAGAAAGTTACAAATGCATTGGCTATATTACCAACAAACAGGAAACACAGATGTCACTGGCAACGGTTTGTTCCAGAACGTGCACGATTTGAAGCCCCACTCATCAACTACCAAAAGCCCAAAATACCATAAAGTTATCAGTTGGGATGTTTTGGGATGGGGCAGTTTCTAGATTAATTGTATGATAAGCAGAATATTACCAATTGACAGACATATGGTCCAGAGACACTAATCTACGTTCCTTGAAAATGTTTGACTGACTTCCAATTCTTTCTCTACCGAGTGCCAATTTACGAACGTACTTTGGTGTTAAGTTCATAAAGTTTCTTGAACTATATACTACTTATATTTCATAATTTCTGTGTGTTTTCATGCGTGTACATTTTTTTCTTCGCAGCCTAAAGAAGAGAGGCTACATGAAAAACTGAGAAATGATGATACCATGTACTTAGAATTTCTACTTCTTGCGGTTATCCTTTGTGAGTAATTCTTTTTAGTAACTGTCATTGTAGTTTAACATTTGAATACAACACGGTTTCAGTATCTATAATATATCTCTAAAGTTCTGTGATTTATTTACACCCAAGCGAGAATTTGCTGTGAAAGAAATGTTTCGGTTCCCGTGAGTTTGAATCCTCCATTAATGCTGATTATTGCCCGTTGTTCGACTGCAATACTTTGGGGTCTGCTGGTTACGCTTAAATTGGTATATGTTTTCATTTACAGTATGGCTATAAAACTGTCCCCAACTGAATCTATCTTGATATTATGTTGCAGGTGTGGCCAGTGCTCGTCAGTGTTCGTGGGGACAGTTTGGCGACAGCTGTGAAAGAAACTGTTCCTGCCATTGCGCCCTTGTGAAAACAGTACGGCAAAACACTGTAACAAAACAAGTGGAGAGTGCTCAGAGGGATGTATTCCTGGATCGTATGGTATAGATTGCAAGAAAAACTGCAGTGAATACTGTCTCAACAAGATATGTAATCAACAAAGAGGACACTGCACCCAAGGCTGCATAGAAAAAACTACAAAGGACTTTTCTGTAACACTCCCAAAGGTAGGGCATATGCAATATTGTCAAAATGGTTAATGCCAACGCTCATCGGTACATTTAGCATGTTAATGACTGACGACTGCGCTAAATTACTTCCTCTTGTATTTGAATGTTTTGTATACCTTCAGACACTTTGTCAGAGATTCTTGACTTCATTTAAGAAAGCGTACTCTTTTTATGTATGGGAGACGTTATTTTAAAACATACTGACTTGTAATGTGAAATGTCTTAGACTAAGGCGAGAGCCAGATCGGAGAAGGTCATGAGAGACCTATTTTTGAAGATCGATTACTAAAATGCATTTTCTCAAGCCATCTGCGAAAGCATGGTGTGCATGAGCGAGTGAGTGAGTAAACATGTAAGGTCACTTTAGTAATTTAAACAGTAAATACTTTATAATATTATTTTATATAATCTGACACCAAAGTGGTGTGCACGGAAGGTGTTGAATCAATATGTACGCCAAGTGAGGACAATTAATAATGCCAGTGCAGGTCACAGATCGATTTCGATGAGTCACACATATACCAATCTTTTACACTGCATTTCACCACCTATTGGCTTGATATTGTCTTTAACCATTCACTCAACAGTCATTGCCCCCACAATATTTACTAAAATACACGAGACTTTCAGTTATAAATATATTTTGATTTGCTAGGTATTGTCCAAGAAGGAAGTACTATTGATAAATCGGATTGATTTTAAGTATAGACACAAGGTTCTGTCATGACATTACCAAATTTGACCAAGCCGCAAGTGATATAATATTGTTGACCGAGAAGTGTAAATTTGGGTGTGTAGGGTGTGGTGCGTGTGTGTGGGTGTGTGTAGGTGTGTGGGTGTGCGTGGGTGTGTGTGGGTGTGTGGGTGTGTGTGGTATAGCGATATAGCTATACGGCGATACTGCGATATGGCGATAATGAGAAAAGGGGATAATGCGATATAAAAGGTGACACAGCGATATCGCGACATAACGATATGACGATGTAGCGATACGGCGATCAAGCGAAATTGCGATAACGCGAAATGGTTTCCTGACATGGCGATACAACGATTTTGTGATGTGGCAATAAAGCGATATATTCATCTTTATATCATCTTTTATTATATGAGTTTGTGTATGTTGTATGTGCATATGTATGTGTATGTGTGATGTGTCCATGTTGTATTTGAATTAGTATCGTATTAGCTTAAGTCAGAAAGCAAACACTTTCTAGGATTTCATGTAATGATAATATTCGGTGTATGCAAACGGGGTTTTGTGCAATAGTAATCTTCTATGTGTGCGCAGCATGAATATGGTGCTATTGTGTAACGCATCGTCTGAATCATCAAAATGCAGCAACAATCGAATAGTACATACAGAAAGAAACAAACATGGTCGACGAAGCACCACGAAGTGAACATTAAAAGGTGGAGTGGTTATTATTATTTAAGACAAGATCTCTTAGCAGCTGTTTAACTTCGGCGTCGTATTACCAGTAACTAAAGCACAATGGAACAACGTCGACAAATGGAATCATTGTTCCACCCATAAGTGTAGAAAATGACGGTTTCTTTTAAATGGTCATTACTAGCATGTAATTTGGCTCAGTTTATTCAATCTTAATACATACAACACAAAGCAAAGTTTGTTATTGAACAAATTTATCATTGTCGTACTTTAAAACGATCGTGTCGGCTACAACCAAATCGAGAAAGTGTTATTCTAACTTTACATGTAAAAGATAAGGTTCTGCTTTTGTAAAATAAAGTGTACTATTCAGCTTTTCTAGAATTTGGTAAATTGCCATGCCAATTTGGGATGTACATTGTACACGCCTTTAAAGGCCTATGACAAGCGGCTTATTTTACATCTGTAGCGCGTATACGTGTTGTAAATAAATACACACATGAGCGTGAATTAAGCACCATCTGAAACTAAGGGCAATTTTAAAACTTTTAGTTCAAACAGGCGATCTTACTAGAATGCACATGTAAAGCACGTTATTCACCCAATATATAAAACTCAGTGGGTCGCAGGTTGATGTGCTGCGAACGCGCCTAGCACATTGGGGTATATATTTCAATATTGCAGTTTGTGCACTCTGAACTGATATAAAAGATGAGAGTACTAAAGATTAACTTTTCTTGACACGGCAAGACGTTGATGTTCGTAAAACGGAATATCAAGTACTGATGCGGTCGTCAGTAGTGGTTCATACAATCACAACAATTAAATTATTTGAAAACTGTATAACTATCAGATTGGTGGCGTAGTCATGGTGACCATACTTTCGGGTATTGTTAACATTCACGTTTTGTGCATTCCCTCAAATTGCTCTTAAATAGTTACCAAACTTCAATTTCAGTTTTATTTTTGTTTTTGTCAGAGCAAAATATTTCTGCTACCATTTTAATACGCGGAATTTTGTTGTTTTAACGTGTAGTGTTTCCTTACTTCTGTAAATAAAACGTGGGTGGTGCTTCATGTAATGCTTTTGTGTACATGGCCATATCCACACATGTTTTTAACCGTTTGTTTCCCAATCGTTTTCCAGTGGCATCATGTTATAACAACTACAAGACAGCATGCTTAATACCAGACTTAAGAACCAGACTTTCATAATCTATAAATATCTATAGAGATAGATTGAAACCTTTGCACATTAATCATATACATTATGTTTTATTACTAGATTTTTCACCCCAAAATATTTACATTCCCATACATATACCTTTCCAGTAAAATTTAATGCTCTAGACTCGACAAATCTGATAAAAATAAAATGAATTGGACCTAATTTTGCATCAAATACTTTAATCTAATCATGTAATATTGTATCCCGGGCTGTTTGATCGGGCTACCTGTCTCTCCTCAAACACAGAAATGCATCAGTGGGTCCACAACACTGTATTAGGCGTCAAATATACAATTTGTGCAGCAACGGCCAGATAGCATCTCGAAGGGGATCATCAGTCCACTTGCCCTTGCCCTTGTATGAGGGGGTCCAGTCCCGTTAGAAACCAGAATTCTAAATATATTCTAACTTTCAGGCATCCTTGTATCGTATGTACAGTACATGTATGGTCAGTCCGCATTATCCAGCACCTCATCCACAAGAATAAGCTTCCGTGGCTAACCTGCCATATGCAGCTGACCTACACATGCCTTTGCTGATGGCCATGATAATAATGGTCAAATTTGCGCTGTAAAGATTCAGATATACTACATTAACTCAACTCGGGAATGAACAAACGTATCTATACTCCCTGTAAAGCCTATATCCCGCCAAATTGCCAAATCGATAATTGTCAAAAACTCTGAGATTGATTTACTATACCAACTGAAATTAATTTGGTGTGCAATGTATTATTTACTTATTTATAGATAGAAGAAGAAAACGTCTTCTACAATTTGTCGGTTATGATCATATTTTCCCTTTTTGACAAACTACCACCATTCTTTAAAACAACCCTTCAGAGATCTATTTCCCATAAGATCAGGCAGATCGATTAGGTACCGTAAGAGCCCAATCTCTATTCTGATGAACTCATATAGCCTACAGAGTTCTCATGCATGACCTTGGCATGGACAAGTATCCCAGTTTGGAATATATGAGCTATTTCAGTAGAATGGATGTTTTATGAGTGGTTTATCTCTACATCCTTCCAGCTATCTTATTTTTAGATTCTAAGAATGATCAACTTATCTGCTTTTCCACATTTCACAAATGGAAACTGAGCAATATCGCCATATCGCCGCTGTATCGCCATATCGCGTCTCCATATCGCAATGTCGCGCAGTTTTATCGCCATTTCGTGTCGTGTTATCGCCATATCGTGTCTTGTTATCTCCATGTCGTGTTGTGATATCGCTATTTCGTTTTGGCTGTATCGCAATATCGCTATATCGTGTCGCCATATTGTGTCGTACTATCGCTTTGTCGCGATATCGCCTAGATTTTCAGGGCGATAAAGCCCAGATATCATCGTGTTATGGTAGTATTGCTGTCATCGGCACAGACATTGGTGAATAACTGAAGCTGTATTAATACCCAGGTGTATTGAATGTGAATGGAGAAGTGTGGATACCGGTATTGACTTATAGGTCTCCAGCAACCAATGCTTGTCGTGATTTTAACTCAATGACTTTCCTTCTGAAAATGAATGTTTGTTTTTACAGCTCAACCTGACTTTGTCGTGATCCTGGAAGCTGTCTTGGTTTTTCAGTGCTGTTGAATATCATTCTTTGTGTGTGAGTATATTTGTCTTATTCAAAGCACAATGGGCGTCATAGCAAATGAGTTTTACCAATAATTACTCCACGCTGTTTGGAAGAAACATGCCACGTGTCATCGTTATTTGCCAAACAGTTTCTATGTAGGAAAATGATAAAACATGCTTCACTTACAACAAATTCCTTTGCTGGGAGCCTTTTGAATTCATCTCACGGCGGATCCGGGCCCCTCCCAAACCCAGTATTATCGTACTTTGTTGTAAAATGGGTGACAACGCGTGACCTGAATGTTTGTCATTTCATACGTACCCATGAACCATTTCACAGACTACAACCACTGGATTTTCACACCGAAATTTAAAGCAGTGACCACATGGAGAGAGAGTACTGCTCAGCAACGGCATTGTTGAACTATATCTTGTTCGTCACCCTTTGCCGTCGTCCATTCACAGCTCTTTTGCCTTTTGAGACGGGATAACCATCCACTCGTTCACTCATTACGCAACTATGCTATGTTATATAAAGAAATATCCCCATAATTTCAATAACTGAAATATCTTAGACGAACTGAGATATTATATTATATAATAATAATCTTCATAACTGAAATATCTAAGACAAACTGAGAAAATTTCATTGTAATATTTTCAGGCGATGTTGTGTGTGTAATTCCAATAGAAGACGGAATTCAAGTACAGAAATACGTCAGTACCTATGCCATAAAGCAACTAGAAGATAGTGCCATCGCTCTGCAGCTCACCTGGATGAATACACCTGAAATTATACAAGATTTGATATTCAAATTTGTTTTCTGCAAAATTACCGAGGACTAACTGATGATTATTATTATTACACAAACCTAAAATTCTCTGTTTTAATATAAATCCTCGCAGAAAACCAGCTGTCAAAACAGTCTATCCTAGTTGTTAGGGGCGACCAATCGGATTGGGTGGTCGGACGAGTGTAACGGCGGTGTTGATCACCGTTTTAAATAACAAGTCTGGTGAGGTGTATTTGTTTATTAAAACTGACAAAGACTTATGGTCACAAAGTAAATATGTCGCTAATTCTAACGCTTGGAACAAGGTGGGAACATGCATTCAAGGCTTCAGTTTCATCGGATCAATAAGTTCTGCAGAGAAAACAATCGCTTTACTTGGTAGTTTGGGAAATCGTAACTTTCTTATGAAGCAATGGAGATGTGTATGAAGTCGATGTCCCACATGCGACAATATGATCACCATAGGTATAAAATATTTACCATACGTTGCAGGTAACGGGAGACGGAACCCAAATACGGAATCAGAAAATCTGAATGACGAACAGTCCATGCCTTTACAAGTATGTAATTCTTTTAACTCAGCAGAAATGAAAGTAAAAATCTGCTATTGGATCTTGAAATTATGTGATTTGATCCTCTTAAAAGCTAAAATGATTGAAAATCCATACTAGCCAAACTGTATTTTGAGGTCATAGTATTCACCATTCAAGACATCAGGAGGTTCAGTATATTTACAGGTAGTTTGCCCTTTACACCAATTTGAATCAGATTCGATGTAAACCTCATCCTTCTCTCTAGTCACAGAGACAGAAATTGCCAAGATTTTGAAAAGGATGTCCAGCTAAATCGTGCTATTTAGATGCTACGTCCACTTGGCTTCTGAAACAGTTAGCTTCTGAACTTACTCCAGTGTTTACGAAGATCGCCAATCAATGGGGAAAGTTGAAGGATTTCTCAAGCCACCACTAGTCACTCTGGTGCTAAAGAATTCAACCTTTACCCTGATATGGTCAATCGGTTGCTGTCAAAACTTCCATTTCTGTCTAAGCTGGTAAAACATGTTGTGTCAGCTCGTCTTCAAGAACATATGAACATCAACAACATATGTGAAACTACGCAATCCGCAAATGAATGAGAAAAATGACGGCCTCAGTCCTGTAGATTCCAAGGGTGCCGCTGTTTTGGTTTGTTAGACCTATCAGCGTCCTTTGACACTACAGACCACACCATTCTTCTGGCCCTCCTGGAAACTCGGAATAGAAGGTAGTGAGTTGGCATGGTTTCAGTAATACCTGACAAGCTGTTACCAATCCGTGGTAGTTAATGATTCGAGATTCAGTAAAACATCACCTCCAACATGATGTTCTCCAGGGTTCAGTCTTAGGACCTGTGGTGTTTACTACATACACGTTACCTGTAAGAGATATAACCATAAGGCATGGGCTATCCTTCCATATATATGCAGATGGTGCATAGTTGTACCTTAGCATCAGAACTCGACTAACTACCTAAAGGTAATCGACGCGCATTAGTTTCAGACAATGTTACCTGGAATAGTATGAGAAATCAAGAGAGCGTATTGTCAACGGACAAAGCACGGAATTGAGAGTTACCTTCCACTCTTCTCCGGGGACTGAGCGTCATACAAATACTGTATTCAAGACTGAATGTTATCACCCGTTGGTGAGATCCGACGCTATATTGGCAGAGAGGCAACAATAACACTCATCCATGCTTTCGTGACATATTTCCTGTGTTACTGCAATTCATTGATGTGCTATAGCGTCTAATTTAGGACAGCCATCGTTCAAGCATTTCTAGAGAACAAAAGTATGTATCCAAGCCATGCTAGACCTAATTGTAATTGTTTAATCTGCATTGTTAATCCTTATCACTACCGCAGTGTCCATTGTTTTGTCTTGCCGTACCACTCTCTCACCTTCATTAATTACTGTATATGGCATTTATAGCCTTAATTGGTCATCCCCTTGGCCGTGTCTGCCATCACATCAACTGGTCCAAGGAAGTGCTATTGTTTCTCTAACTGTCCGTTGTTGAGTCTTCGCCTGTTGTCAAAAGCTGTATATATGTTCACATCTATGCTGTCAGCAGTCCGGTTGTGTAAGTGCCTGTGTAGGGACGTCCGCAAGCAGGATAATGCCCTGGGGTTGAACAGGAACTCCGCTCATCCTCATTTATGTCTTGTGTATTTTTTTGTGTCATGAAACCTATCGCTTCGTCTAAATTCCGAGCTAATTCCCCCAGTCGATCATATCCCTGCGTTGACAGATGTATGACTCAAACAAACAGTTCTTGGACAAATTGCAATTCTTAGACAAATGAGCTGTTGAATGAATGGAATGAGCAAGTATGAACATGTAACGCCAATCTTACGACAGTTGCACTGGCTTCCAATTTAACACAGAATTGTGAGTAAACTTCTGATGTTGTAGAATCCAGGTGCATGTTATCTGCAAGAACGTATCACAAGGTATCAACCAGGGAGAATGCTGCGACCCGCTCCCTAATTTTACCACACACACTCGCGTATAGAGACAGAATTTTGAGTTAGAGTATAGAGTTTTGCTGGAGGCAGGTCCATTCATATGGAGAGAGCTTCCAGGTCACAAACAGCAAATCACTGACTTTCAGAGATTCGAGCATGAAGAGCCTATGACCTGGGCCTTTGACCTGCGCCATGGAGCAACGTTTGGATTTTAGGCGTCATATAAATTTTAGCTGTATTATTGTTTAACATTCAATATAAACTTTTTCACGGGACTTCTAGGGGTTGAACTCATGTAGATTGATGTTTAATGCAGGGTTTCTCGAGTCATGGGAAAGCTAAAATACTGAATCTGAAGAAAAACGTCCTACTCTTTCAATCACATACTGTTGCGATATTATTTATAGCGTGGAATTTAACACGGTCGTGACAGCTCTTTGTAAGTCACTTACATTTCATCACAGTGTTTTACTAGAACTCATAACATAAAATTACCAATGATTATATTTCAGGATGTCGCATCGGCTTAACAGTTGCTGTATTCTGACAGGTTAGTACTAGATGACAACAAATAAGGTTAACGTCGCTAATGCAGATATCAGATTTTGGCTGTGGATTTGAATCATTATATTTATATTTCATAGTATATATGCGATTATTAACATTCCTTTTTTAATTTCAGTTGCAGTTTGCATAGCTTCAATTCTAGCATCTCCAAATTGCAAAAACTGTCTGTTTGAAAAGTGTGATGAAGACGGAATATGTACTGACGGGTGTGAGCCAGGCTATGCTGAAATATACCTCGTCAACAACCATGTCAGGAGACCTGTCTAAAAGGCAGGTGTATTGAGGATATCCTCACAGGAAAGACAATATGTACAGAGGGATGTGTTGATGGCTTCTGTTACCCCACTGCATGTAAGATACCTTGCCCCTGAAGGTTGTCTACGTTGTGAGCGTATGCTTTGTGAAAACTGTACACTTTGTGAGAGTCCACTTGTACGGACAGAGTTGCCAACACTCGTGTGTTGATAAGTGTTACGGCTATGCATGTGGTATTCAAGGAAACTGCTCACAAGGCAAATGTATGGATGGTCGGTACGGCAAACTATGCAGAAAGTCATAAAACCGAGGTATGAGTCATGTCATCAAGAGAGTGGACGATGCATTAAATGCCGGCGAGGGTTATTCGGCGACGACTGTCAGCATCACTGTTCACATCGAATGTCTATCAAGGGAAGAAGATGAAATGTTCAGGTGTAGTTCGGGATGCACGCTGTGCGAGTTACCGCCCTCATACTGGTTGTAAGTATTTCTGTGTCATATTTTATGTCATATTTAATGCAACTGTCAAGTGTTCTTAAACAGTGTTGATATGCATAGATAACTCAATGCTTCACCAAAAGGATGAATAAACGTCAAAAAAGGCGAGATATATACATACATAAAGAAACGAAACCGAGGTGATTTCGTGTTAGCACAACCACTGCTATCGATGTAATGCAGACTGTTTTCCATATACAAAATGAGGAATTTTGTCGTAGGTCCTCCGGAACACCTAAAACAAATATGATAAATATGCATTTTCAGTGCAAATGTTTTCGTTGTCGGTAATACTACGAATATTACTGTAGTGTTATGAATATCACGGTAGTGTTATGAGTATTGCTGTAGTGTTATGAATATTATTGTAGTGCTACATGACTGTTGCTGTAGTGCTATGGATATTGTTGTAATGTTACGAATATTACTGTAGTGTTACGAATACCACTATAGTGTTATGAACAGTACCAGTAGTGTTATGAATGTTACCGTAGTGATTATGGATATTACTGTAGTGCTAAGAATGTTACCAGTAGTTATGGATATTATTGTAGTGTTATGAATGTTACTGTAGTGTTATGAATATTATTGTAGTGTTATGGATATTATTGTAGTGTTATGGATATTATTGTAGTGCTATGACTGTTACTGTAGTGTTATGAATATTATTGTAGTACTATGGATATTATTGTAGTGTTATGAATGTTACTGTAGTGTTATGAATATTACTGTAGTGTTATGGATATTATTGTAGTGCTATGGATATTATTGTAGTGCTATGAATATTACTGTAGTGTTATGGATATTATTGTAGTGCTATGGATGTTATTGTAGTGTTAAGAATATTATTGTAGTGCTATGGATATTATTGTAGTGCTATGGATAATACTGTAGTGTTATGGATATTATTGTAGTGTTATGAAAGTTACCGTAGTGTTATGGGGCATTATTGTAGTGTTATGGATATTATTGTAGTGTTATGGATATTATTGTAGTGCTATGGGTAATATTGTAGTGCTATGGATATTATTGTAGTGCCATGGCTGTTACCGTAGTGTTATGGATATTATTGTAGTGCTATGACTGTTACCGTAGTGTTATGGATATTATTGTAGTGTTATGAATGTTACCGTAGTGTTATGAATATTACCGTAGTGTTATGGATATTATTGTAGTGCTATGACTGTTACCGTAGTGTTATAAATATTATTGTAGTGCCATGGATATTATTGTAGTGCTATGACTTTACTGTAGTGTTGTTATGAATATAACTGTAGTGCCATGGATATTATTGTAGTGCTATGACTGTTACTGTAGTGTTATGAATATTATTGTATTGCTATGGATATTATTGTAGTGCTATGGATATTATTGTAGTGCTATGACTGTTGCTGTAGTGTTATGAATATTACTGTAGTGTTATGGATATTATTGTAGTGTTATGGATATTATTGTAGTGCTATGGATATTATTGTAGTGCTATGGATATTATTGTAGTGCTATGAATATTACTGTAGTGTTATGAATATTATTGTAGTGCTATGGATATTATTGTAGTGCTATGACTGTTACTGTAGTGTTATGAATATTACTGTAGTGCTATGGATATTATTGTAGTGTTATGACTGTTACTGTAGTGTTATGAATATTACTGTAGTGTTATGGATATTATTGTAGTGCTATGGATATTATTGTAGTGCTATGAATATTACTGTAGTGTTATGGATATTATTGTAGTGCTATGGATATTATTGTAGTGTTATGAATATTATTGTAGTGCCATGGATATTATTGTAGTGCTATGGATATTACCGTAGTGTTATTGATATTATTGTAGTGTTATGAAAGTTACTGTAGTGTTATGGGGTATTATTGTAGTGTTATGGATATTATTGTAGTGTTTATGGATATTATTGTAGTGCCATGGGTATTATTGTAGTGCTATGGATATTATTGTAGTGCTATGGCTGTTACCGTAGTGTTATGGATATTATTGTAGTGCTATGACTGTTACCGTAGTGTTATGGATATTATTGTAGTGTTATGAATGTTACCGTAGTGTTATGAATATTACCGTAGTGTTATGGATATTATTGTAGTGCCATGACTGTTACCGTAGTGTTATAAATATTATTGTAGTGCTATGGATATTATATTGTAGTGCTATGACTTTTGCTGTAGTGTTATGAATATTACTGTAGTGCTATGGATATCATTGTAGTGTTATGACTGTTACTGTAGTGTTATGAATATTACTGTAGTGCTATGGATATTATTGTAGTGCTATGGATACTATTGTAGTGTTATGACTGTTACTGTAGTGTTATGAATATTACTGTAGTGTTATGGATATTATTGTAGTGTTATGGATATTATTGTAGTGCTATGGATATTATTGTAGTGCTATGGATATTATTGTAGTGTTATGAATATTACTGTAGTGTTATGGATATTATTGTAGTGTTATGACTGTTACTGTAGTGTTATGAATATTACTGTAGTGTTATGGATATTATTGTAGTGTTATGAATGTTACTGTAGTGTTATGAATATTACTGTAGTGTTATGGATATTATTGTAGTGCTATGGATATTATTGTAGTGTTATGAATATTACTGTAGTGTTATGGGTATTATTGTAGTGCTATGACTGTTACTGTAGTGTTATGGATATTATTGTAGTACTATTAATGTTACTGTAGTGTTATGAATATTATTGTAGTGCCATGGATATTACTGTAGTGTTATGGATATTATTGTAGTGCTATGAATATTACTGTAGTGTGAAGAATACTACTAATGTAATGTTATGAATATAACTGCAGTGTTACGAATATTACTGTAGTGTTACAAATATCACTCTAGTATTATGACTATCATCTCTAGTGTTACGAATATTACTGTAGTGTTATGGATATTACTGTAGTGTTAAGAATACTATTGTAGTACAATGAATACTAATGAGTGCTACGAAAAATAATGTAGTGCTATGAATATTACGGTAGTGTCATGAGTATTATTGTTGTGTTATGAATATTACTGTAGTGTGATGCACTTTACCCTACTGTTAGGAATATTATGGTATTGTTATGAATATTGGTGTATTGTTAGGAATATAACTGTAGCGTTGTGAATATTACTGTAGTGTTATCAACATTAGTGTTGTGTCATAAATATTACTGTAGTGTTACTTCTGACAACATACACATACCAATTACTCAAATTGTTTACATGTATCCTGCAGGTAAGAAAGATCTGGCACTTCCAGTCAATGCCATGGAGGCCCAAATTAACACCACCCTTCGACTTTGTATCGCTGTGCTGTTGATTGCTGTGACAACCCTCGCCATCCCTTATCGGGTAAGTTGGTAAGGAAGAAGGCTGGCCCTGCTGTCGTGGATGACAAACATGAATTCACTAAACTCTAACACTCTGAACATCTAACCAAAGTCACAACTGCAGTTTCAACATAATTGTCATTGGTATTATTTTCACTATCATGGACATAAACCAAATGTACCAGCTGCAGCATAATTTGCATATGGTACCACAGTAGTACATCATATGACAATGAAATAGGATTGAAAATTACGTATGATGTAATTCTCAATAAATGTCTATGAATCTTGAATTATATGTCACTAACGATGACAATTTTACACCGGTGGATAGTCACTGTACATGATACTTTTTCTTTGAAAACCTTGAAGGGATTTAGAAAATAGAAATAGAAATCCCTTTGGAATGTTTGGTCAATTAAACAGTATTTAGTATACACACTATGGTTTTATGGTAGGCGGATTAATGTATTCTACAATTCTTGAAAATCCATACTACATTTGAATATTTTCTTCCAGACGGCCATGGCTGCCGGGTCGACGTCATGAAAGGAACAGGTATTACGCATGGTTTATTAGTCATACCCGTTTCGAAATACAACCCGTTTTATCACTGACCTAAATATATATAGTTTGACGGTTGATGTTGTGGGATACTACGCAGTTCAGTTTCGGCTCACATTAATGAGAAATAACGTTCTCAGTTAGATATATTGTAATTAAGACTTATCTGGCTAACACTCAACTGCAAGTTTGTCCTTGTGTCGAATTATATTTTACTTTATGTTGCAGAGTGCCACTGAAATTTTCTATATGCAACTTACATCTTCATTCGACATCAGGAATCCTTGTTTTTGTAAAAGTTGGAAACTTTGTCCGTCAACTAGCATTCTAATTGCACGTCATGTACAAACCGTGTAGATGTTATTTGTTTCTTAATGCTTTGATTACACAAATTGCAGTTGGTGACTCAACATAGATATATGTTAAATCTTAACAAACAACTATGAACATATAACTCAGATACGTCAATTATAGCTTCCAGAATTCCAAGTCTTTACACAGGGAACGTTGGTTATAGTTTGTATCCTAAGCTATATGATTATGTCAGGTGAATTTAATTTTTTAAAAAATAATTAAATTCACCTCTGGTTTTTAATACGATTGAAAAGGAAATAGGATCAGTGACATCGTACTTGGCAAGATGAAACATTGCAATACGTCCCTGTTCTTCTTAGCCAGACTGAGCTATTTAGAGGTCATCTGGTATGGCTGGACTGCTGTTGCCCGACAACAAAAACGTAAAAGTAGCCTGAATATTCCTGAATCAGTTTTGACAGAAAATCAAGGATGTTTGTTTCTAGCATTGCGGGTAGAATTCACAGCTAGTACCCTTCTGACTAGTAATTACGATCAGAAAGATTGCAATTAAATAAGAGGACTTAGAATCCATTAGTAACCAGTAAAATGATTACTAAAGGGACATTTTACATCTTTCTTACTATGCAGACAATACCCGTAGAAACACTGGGATAGAGTTGGTGTGTAGCAGCTAATATAAAAGTGGCGCTACGGTTACGATAATGCTGACGTCTCACTGGATCGAGTGAGACGTCATCGAGCTTGTTCCACTCTAATGATACCTGGTGACATTTGACTCTGTGTAATCGTGCATTCTTACAGAAAGTATTTGTCACCATCAGTTCGTTTATAAACGATCTCGGTACAATGTTTGCAAAGATCTATCATTTGATGTTTAATTAAAGCTGCTCCGAATCAATCCTATGTTTTCTAGTCAAATTTGTGTTATTACATACTTTCACAGTCCCAGGGAGATCTGGGAACCGAGACTAGTATCCATTATATTACAGTAGATACCACTATGATATGCGTTTCCAAGTATCCTTTGCTTGTCGTGAGAGGAGTCTCTGTTGAGTAGTGTGCTCAGTGATGTCTAAACTTGACCAAATGAAACATTTCATTACTGGTTTGACTTGTCCAGACTATGTTCATGTCGTTGACAGGCCATCTCATAAAGCTTGGTCACTGTTCCCCAACAAGAACACATGACGTTATATGTTGCTTAAGAATGATAGCGAGTAGAAAACATGACCACAACACATTCGGCTTGGCTGTTTAAATATTGTTCTAACTGAAATTTGTACTCAAGTAGCATAACCGAAATCTTGAAATCAATACTAACCATAAACCAATAACATTTTTATTATTTTTAACAGAGACGGCAAAGGTGGTAAGTATTCTGAAAAAAGAAGCTTTTTGTACTTAAATGTAACAGAAAGGAACAGAAGTCGTGTATATTCCATATGTGAAACGAAGAACCAAATGTTCAAGCGAGCTTTGGTCTTAACTTGGTGTCAGTTAACACGTCCATCGTAAATTTTGCGTTTTTACCTTTGCAACAAACCTAAGATGCTAAAATAGTGCTTTGATGATCCTATTTATGGAAGCTTCTAGTGTATTCACAAATCATTAGCAAAATGTTGATAATGTAATGAAATGATCACAGCGAAAAGTTTCATAACAAATGGGTGTGATGTTTTGTTAATCCTAATCCGTATTTTCACTTCTTATTCCGTATATTCTGGACTTCAGAGACCTCATATTGTAAAATCATGGGGTGAAGAAACGTGTTATGGACATAGGCAACGTTTACATGCACATTGTCAAAAGAAACAGTGTGTTGTTAAACACATGTACAATGCCGAAATCGCACGTATGTTCCTGTAATTCGAAAATACATATTCGTATTAATATCGCATCACCTTTAATCCAAACAGGCCATCATATCTTGGCACTCAATAGTTAACGTTATCAACAGAAAGTACTGGATACCGCCATCATGCCACATTTTGATAGCCCGCCCTTGCCAGTCTTCCGATATTCATATTTATGGAAGCCACGGTGGATGAGTGGGTTAAATGGCTGCTGGAGAACCATTGATGAAATTAGTTTCACTCACGTACCAAACAGGCTTATGGAATCTTGAAGTGTGCGTGGCTGTCTTCCAACTCTCCGTGGTGAGCTCAGTGTACGTCATATCCGGTGACTGGGCACCTCAGTAATGTTAATCACTCTTAGGAACCTCATGGAAGCTAGGAAGAGACTCTTCCACATATATGGAAGTCGGATTACTGGTAGTCTAGATCACAGACTTTGTGTACTCCTCTGACAAGTGTAAATTGGCACGGCTTTCCCCGCCAAAGACATTGAATTTACACTTGTGAGAGAAGTACACAAAGTCCGTTATCTAGACTATTGTTGTCAGACTTTAATATTTGTGGACGCCGCTGTTGCTGTCACTGAATGGTTGATATAGCTGACTTCGGCAGACGCATTTATGCAGTCGTTTAGGTGCCTGACACTCAGATTGAAGTTCGAACTCCAAACAAAGGAGGTACTAGAATCTATACTTTCCTGTGATAGTCATCAACAACCCCCACCCCCACCCATAAACACACACTTCACTTGCGTTTCATTTGAGGTTTGCCTTCCTCATGGTGTTGGAGCAAAGTTCGAGATAAGGTGGATATCCTCACTATGAGCTTATTTTTCTATACATTTTGTGATTGTGTTTACCACACCTTATGAGAAGTTCTAAAGGACAAGGTCCAGAGACCGAACGCCTTTTGATATAATTCTTGTGGTTGTAGTTTTTCTAAAGGTATTATTGCATTTTATAATATTTTTTAAGGCATGGTTACTTTAATTTGTAATGAAATCTGCATGCATGGCTAGGACACCCGTGGTTAGGCTGCTTCTTGCTCTGTTAACACCTCCTCGTTAGTTATCTGATGCATTTAGATGAAGTTCATTTCGCTCGGGCAATTCATTCATACTATTTATGAGAATTTTCATTACTGCTTCTAGACGTATAGTATCAGATGAGAGCATTGCATTTATATGTTTTAAAGGTGAAATGTTAAGCCTCTATTGGGTATTCGCTTGTCGTATTCATGCTCAAAGTTAGATACATGCGATTAATGATCAGCTGCAAGAGAGGGAAAGAACAATGAACTTATGTCATGTTATTGCACACACAATGCTGCTTTTGTTAAAGACACATTTTGTATCAATGCCGACTCCGGCTCAAACGATTTGAGTTCTGATATAGGTATTGTTTATAACTATACATAGATGTGTTTTTTTCAGAAGAAGGACTGGCATTAACAAAATGTAATCAGACGACAACGCCATGAAGCTGAACAGAGAATCTACAGCTGTGAATTACATACTATTCTGAGCCTCATGTTATCTTGGCTGATCGACTATTCTCCTCTGTTGTTAGTATGAAGGAGTCTTCTGAGAGCCTAACGGTAGAAACTGATTTTCCAAAAATTAGAGATAGTAAGTGGCAAGAAGGCTGGTAAGTCACGGTAATCAACTGAGTAAGCCCAAGTCAGATGTGATGACGTCACAAATTTATCCCAGTGGCTTTGGGGATAATGTATTTTGACAGGTGCAGATAATGTAACTTATGAAAGAAACTATGTGCCCTCAAATTTGAAACAAGGCAGAATCAGTTAGACCGTGATGTTACATTGAAAACATAGACCTGTGATGACTGGTCAAACATCACTTTAACATATATAGATTCGTGTAACATTTAGCATCTGGGAATTTTGTAAATATATTTGAAATATATCATAGGTGAAATATCAATCGCAAAGTTCTTTTGAAAAGTGGTTTTGGAAACAATAATTACACAGGTTTTCTTATTTATGGATTATGAAGCAACTTAGAATATTAACCAACATAACATAGTCAAGACAGGTCTAAAGAGAGGTCAAATTCCTGATATGTAGGAGTTATGAAGAGTAAAAGTGAGATTCCTATCCTCTGTCCCCAGCACAATACTGGTGGATTCAAGCATGTTGAGAGTTGAGGCAACATGTATCAAAGAGGAATATCGGAGGATGTAGATTTTCTAAACAAATATTATTTTGACAGATTTCCCCAATTAGCCTCACATTGTAGCAAGCAAATAATGTCGCCTTTGGCTTGTGGATTCGCATGTGAACTCTCTGCTAACAGCAGGAACTCAGCAGATGACACAAGAGATGGCGCCAAGGTTCTGCCCTAAAAGAAACCAGATGGAAGTCAATTCCAGCAGAATCCATTTACCAGTGCATGAACTCGAACTGGCATTCCAGGGTGGGTCTGTTCAGCGGAAACAGAGTCTGCTCTTGTCCGTGGCAATTGACGTTCCTTCGAATTGGGCACATATCCATGTAACACCAGGATCCATGGGTGCCATAACAAATGAGTTTCCGAGTAACCAGTGCGTTTAATTTCATTTAAAAATAGTTGATTGATCATCTGTTTATGCTGCCAAACGTGAAGGCAAAAATCTCAGTAAATGGATTATTACTCCCTTGACCTCTTATCATGGGTGCCATAAATAAATTGACTCTATGAGGTACCAGTGCGTTGAAATAGATAGCATATTCCCAAGTTGATCGATCATCTGCTGTATGTTGCCAAACGTATTCTTTTAACTTCAGCATATGGTTTGAAGATCCCTTGAAGTAGACATCGTGGGTTTTGTGGATAATAACAGTCCAGTTGCCAGATATACTTTCAGTCACGGCAACGAAAATACAGTTTCTTATCCTGTGAAGGACCAGGATACTTGTTTGAGGCGGACAACGTATCAGTCACAGCATCAAGCATACATTTTCTGGCATAGTATGTATGTGTAAACTCTTGAATTATTGTTATGTTTGTTTTTGGTCATTTTTGACCTCGCGTTGTTTTTTTTTTCACATCTGACATATCATGTATAGGTACTCTTTGGATTATTTCCTATTCCCTTCTTGTCATTTAAGGTCCTTAACAAATGAAATTATTCACAGACACCCTCTCCGAAATAATACATAGTTCTTCCAGTAAAGAAAATATTGTCATTCATTGAAATCACCGAAGCAAGGTTTTATCAAACCTGATAAGATACTACTCAAATCACTGCTTCGTTTCTGGCGCGAATCATTCATTTACAGGAAAAAACCCCTGCTATTTGCAGAGGTTACTGCTCCTGGTGCAGCCGCGTCCAAATTATAGCAACATACCTAGATTAGTAGAATCACAGACTAAGACACATGAACATCCTTATCGATTTGCGGAACTAACGTGGTTTCACGGTACATGTAGTTTTACTAATTAGATATGTCATTTTGTGCTTATTTCATACATATAATTTTATTTGTCTTTGTCTTTATAATCCTTACAACTAAGTTTGATATGTGTTTTTTTTATTTGCTTTCGATTAGTCGACTTACGTACGATTCCAGCTCGAAATCAAGAAAAATATGACCTCTCATAGCTGGGTCAAGCAGCGTTAAATAACATTTATCCTAATGATCATCTCTTGAAGATGATCAAAGAAATTTCGTGGAATTTGGCAACTGTGTACACCGCACCTACTGGAAAACGTTACCCCTTGTTTCATTGTCTCTAGAACTGATGACCAGAGTTACAGCACTCCATGTTCAAGTGGGACAACTTGGTCTGTAAAACTCTTTTAGACAAGAAACATTCACAGCGAACCACAAGCATGGGCTTGTGATATGGATACAATCATTCCTGTTATGATGAGAACACGTGTACGCTTCTGTCCATATCACAAGCCCATGTTTGTGGATCATCAGAATGTTTCTTCCTAAAAGAGTTTTTCAAGAAGACGTTATTCATACAGTTGCATGCCTTAATATTAATCCGAAGAAATGCCGGATCAAACAATTAATGATTTTATCGTTTTATTTACATATATATGTTTGTTTTCTAGGACATATTTTAAGCCGAAGATAGTGTACTCATGGTTTGGTTTTGAT